CTACACTTGAACTCCTCTTATAAATAACTTCTCAGTTTCCTTTATCGTGAAAGCTGCACACGATAACGAATCATTCAATCTGATTAAGGTTTTAACAAACCTCTGCTTTGACGGTGATCATCAAATGCATTTTTTGGAGAAGCGTAGCAAGACACTCAAATAAGAACTATTTGAAAAACATCATGTTTCAGGCTGTATAATTTGTGCAACGAGATAATGCCTATCCTCAGTCACTGGTGGATAGTGGCCACATGTTGGGGACTCAGAGAAGCAAAACAACCTGGCTGTGTGGAGGACACAACTCTGCAGCCTCAAGAGCTGATTGTGCGAAGAAGAACTCTGCACACGTTGCTAGATAAAAGATTAGTACTGGTACAGCTCCCTTCTGCCTGCAACAAAGGCTCAACACAGTGACTTTTTGGAGGGACATATTTATCTTCAGGTGAGGTCTAAAACTCAACGTATATATCCAAATCTGCCTTGAATTATAAAGCACATCTGATAACACAGAGTGAAGCTGTAGGGGAGGTTATCATAGTATCTTAACTATTCAAAATGAATGAATAGACTGCTTGTTGGCTAGCTAGTACAAAATGAGACGTTTATGATGACATTTGCTATCAGCTAACCATGTGTGGTGCAGCATTTTTTTTAAAAACAACACAATTTTTATTTTTCACATCAAGAAAAATTTAAATGCTCATTATTAATGGAGGAAGAGTTCATTGTCAAATTCTGTTAGTTGCAAAAGTTTTTTTTCTGTGCTTCTTTTCTTGCAAAAAAATCTGTGTTGCCCTGAGGGGTTGCCCAAACTTTGCAACAGTATGCCCCTTTTAAAATTATATATGTGCAAAAGGAAAACAACGTGGACTTTGCGGCTTCCGCCTGCGTGCTGCCCTTTAGATCAGAAAGCTTATTTACCTTTTTGGCTCTTCATGAGTCAGGTCTTCAGAGAGCAGTTTGTGCTCTGCTGTCCCCTACTGAATGAAGAGGTAAGAACCAACGCAAGTTTATTTTCAATTACTTTTTGTCATTGGAGTTAGGAAAAATCTTTCAGACGACATGCCCAACAAATAGATTTAATCAGCTTGGTGTTTTTCAGTTTTAAATGAGCCAAATCCCATGAAGTTTGATTTTAAAAACATAGAGACACCAGGAAGTCTCCTTCTTTTGTTAAAAAAAACAGTCATTTAAGGACGGGAATGCAAATAAATAATTAGAAAAATATATATATTTTGATTAAATATAACTAAAAAGAAAAAGTTGGTTCCTTTCCAAATTACATACAGACCTGAAACGATCCAACGGAACATGCACAGGATGGTATCAGTATTAATTTGGTCTTATCTTCCATCTTCTGGCTGTGATGGTTTATGTGGTGGCTAACAGACCTTGTGATCACCATAGTTTTTCAAATCATCTTACAAGAACTGAAAATGATTTTCACACAATTATTTTCACTTAAAAAAACACTGATATTGCAGAAACACTGTGTTATACCACCGCCTAGCTGGATCAGTTCATGCATGCAGGTGACAAAGCTGACTGCTTTCTATTGGACGAGCTCTGCAGATCTTGGGTGCAGGAATGTGAGAGGAGTGAGGCACCAGGGAAGAGGAGTGCACACACTCCCACTTCTGAGTGCATGAATTGTGTTGTATGATCCTGCAAGGAGACTTACCTTGTAAAGGATTTAAGTAGGTGGAAAGGTTTAGAGTACAACTTCTTCACAAGGAAACATCTACATTAACACATGATCTGAAATCCCCATTGTTCTCCCTCTAGTGGCCATCCTTGGAACTACATGTTCTTTAAGTGAGTCAACAAAATGGCTGACTAGTGTAATTTCAGGGGATTAATAAAAAACAACATATTTACAGATAAAAATATGACAGAACCGAGTTGTGACTTAATTCTTCTTGCCCTCCTCATTTACTTTAGCACTAATCAAATCATATGGGAAAACGACTTATGTGATCATGCTTTAGAAATAAAAGGCCTGCGCAGTTCACATCATTTGCTTAATATTCTCCCCACGTGTGAAATTTTTGTCGTGTTCTTCGCACCGTTTGTACAAACATTTTTCAGAACTACAAAGAAAAAAAAAGATTTGACAGTCAACCCACTCACTGATCACTGTTTGGTACTTGACCAGGTGTGGGAGACCTCAAACACACCTACATAGCCACAATCGAAAAACAAAACCTTTTATGACATAAACATTTTTGAAAAACTTTTTTAAGATTACAGGCCGTTTTAGAGCTGTTGTTCACCTGGCTCCTCCTCGTCGATTTAACCCCTCCCCCCCACAGCCCGGGGTTATGCCTGTCTCGGACGAATCTCAGGCACCCCTCCCTCTCCAAGCTAATGTGCTGCTCCACTGTTGTCTGTACTTGCCGCCGTGGGCTGAGTGGCTGTCTACACCACGCTGCAGCGGGGTAGCTCCAAGCCGGGGTGCAGCAGCTCTGAAAACACTCGGGTGTGAATACTGCCAGTACTTCCATTGAAACTGACCTGTGGACCTGTTCATACCTACCTTACCGGCTTAAGGTACCGACTTCAGCCCCGCGTCACTGAAGACACTCGAAAACTGAGGGAATGTAACGTTCAGGTCCCGACTGCTCGTCGACGGGAACGACTTTTTTTTTTCTTGGCGTCTACCGACCAACCCCTGCCGCCAACGACGCTTGACGTCACCGCAGCCGTTTTTTTTCACCTTTTTTTTTGGTGTGGTTGTGCGCGAAAAGAGGAGGAGTCTATTATCCCGACTGGAGTCTAACACTCGTTTGGGTCCCACACCACAATACACAGTTGTGGCACAACTCCTTGAATTTGACGCTGCATGTTGGTACCGGCGGGTTGCATTTCCATACGGACCACATCTGAAGTGCAACTGTGACCGGAAGAACCGCACAGTGGCATTGGAAGGAGGAGAGGGTCCGCAACGGTCGGAGTCTAAATTATTGCGGGAACATCCGAGGGCTACGCGGACAGTCGGTGAGTTGAGGTATTGCATTTAGCATGCTAGCCAGGCAAGTTATCGCATCTCAGCTTATCTCTTAAAACAAATACGGAGATAGTTTTACTTTTGAAGCCCACGAATGGAGAAATGTTGCTACAAATAGTTGGAAATATATTTCTGTATTTACCAAATGTTTGTGGTCTCTATACAGAGCTCTAACAGTTGTGAATGGAGGAGGGATAAAAGAGTTTTGCTTGCAATTGCAGCACTAGTTTAAAAAATATTAATCTGATTATTCACAAATAATGACTGTTACCCTTATTTAAATGGTTTGTTTTAATAAGCTCTTTGAATGATGACTAATACTTTTTTTTAGAATGGAATGTTTCCTGGTTTGGAAAATGTGGGAATTTTGAAAAATAGCAAAAACAAAAATAAATAAATAGGCAAGATTCCTTCAATAAGGGCCGTGGGTGGTGTTGAAATTTTACTTTCAATTTAACACATTCTCATATTTTGAACTTTGTGTAGCTGATGTCAAATTTGGGGCGGAACCTCAGTAGGCGATTCCAGGGTTTCAAAAGTCTAGGTTTTCTCAAAGCCCGGAAACCCATAGGTTTGGAAACATTTGAATGCCTAGTATGTGATTTTAAAAAATCTAACCAAGTGAAATTGATTGGTAGATTTTTAATTTTTTTTTTTTGTGGTATTACAATAAGTAAACCGTTTCTGTTGACACAAGGTTTGTGTCTTTTTATCGCACAACCCCAAAAAACTTTTAACTAGTATTTGAGTGTATTGCTTATACGTACCTAGTTTTGGTAACCTTTTTTATTGTATATGATCACATTGCATAGTAGGAAATAATTGTATTAACAATTGAAGAATCAAATGCTTTTACATTGTTTATAATATCATTCTGAAGCATGCAACACATGCAGTTGCTGTGCATCTACAAGTATTTATTTGTTTTGGATATGTTTTCAGCTTCAACACAAATGTAACCCATTTAAGTCAGTAGAGTGAGTACACCCAAACTAGCTAGCTCAACCAGCACATTTTAGACATAAGGTGGGGGAGGGGCTTGAGGGAGTGCAGATGTTGTTGAGCTGCTGTGTCCTTGTGTAAAAAAATAAGGTAGGTAATACGATTAACACAAGGATATTAACTTAAATTACAGTCTCCTTTCTTACATTTTTTGGCAACCTTTTATGAAGAAATTAATTTAAGATTAAAAGGTTTTGATTTAGTTTTTTGTCATCCTGCATTGTTGACTGTTGGGTTATGTCACTGAGCAGAAAATATGAGAAACTGAGTCATACATGTTGCCAGAATTGTGTTAAGGTAAGGGAAAAAAGAACCGTTCTGTCCGTTTGCAGCTAAACCCTCCTTTTGATAGAAAGTGGTACAGTCTGGTAATTTTCCATGAACCAGACTCTCCTAAAATGTGGGTGTGGCCTAATTTAAGCTTTAAGCGGAGAGTTAGACCGTTTTCTGTTTATTTTGTTTGGTTTTGTGGTAGAAAAGTAAGCTTTTTTTTTGGCTTAAGCAGATGTTCAAAATAAGTGACTAGAGGGTTTAGCGAATAGAGCTGCATGATTTGTGTGTTAGTCTTCTATTAGACTTCATCATTATATCATTGCCGTAAAAGAAAAAAGACACAAGTGATTTTAATTTTGTGTATAAAAAGTTGGTTCTTTCAGGTTTGCCTTTACCTTTTTGGAAGTTGGTACAACCCTGTGTCTGCTTTCCCCTCCCCCACATCTTAGTTGCAGTGCTCACATGGTGCATTTGTAATTCATTGCACAGCCTTTTTTTCCCCTGCAAAGGAGGAAGCAGCCTTTAAAGGCACCGCCCACATTTACAATGGCCTTCATGTAGATGTTGGGAGAAGTGATTTAAAAAAAGAAAAAAAAAACCCTTCCCAAGTTAGTGAACTTGTCATGTGATATGATTCATTATAATTTTACCCAAAAATTAACAACACACTTGAAGACCTAGCCACTTTGAAATAAATAAGCATTGTGAACTTGTTAAGATGAAGTTCCTCCTGGTAAACAGAGGCATACAGATGTTCTTTACATGTGGAAAAGAGGAGAGCAGTGGCACGTCTCTCAATTCTGGTCTTTACAGCTGTGCGGTTAGATCAGCCATTGCAGTGCAGCTGTTGGTCCATTACGACCATTTCTCTGTTCCTGATTGTTCCTGATTTTAGTTTGAAGGAGCTTAATCAAGCCACATGGTGAGATGCATGTTACTATTCAGTGTAATAATTACACTTCAAAGGGGTTATGGGGCATTTGATTTGATCTCGGTCTCCTTTCAGTTGTAGATTATTGGTATAATTAGGAATCTCAGACTTTAGCCATGTTTAAAAGTACACTAGGCCTGCTGGGGAAAAAAGGCACATGGAGCCTGAATAGAGCATATAAATGACCAATTTTAAGATTTGTCCTAAACAGATGCCACATGATATATTTAAATTGTAACTGAGCACAAAATGCTCTTTGAATTGTTACCAAATGCTGCATTTATAAATGTGTTAATGTCAGCTATGTATACAAGAAGACAAAAATGACAGTGTACATAGTTATAGGGATTCCTGATCTCCATGGGAATTATCTGGTGCTATTCCAGTCATTTTAAAGGCCTAAGTTTCTCCTGTTGCATTTTCTTTAGCCATTCTAATGTTATTTTGTCCTTAAATGAATTAATTCTAATGTATTTTACAATACATTTGTATTTGTAAGTATTTAGCTCTTTTCAGAAAAGTAATGATTTATAAATATATTAGTGTCATATTATCACATCCCACACCTGACCAGTTAAGACTAAATGGCAGTTGTAGGCGGTTGTATCCCGTAACTTTTGCAGATCAAGTTATGTCCAACACACTTGCAGCAAGACAAGATTGATGTTGGATCACAGTAAAACTAGGGGAAAAAATAAGCCTGCTCTCTTTTTTGTTAAAAAAAATCAAGGCCACCTGCCTGTCCAAGGTTAGGATTTAGTAATAAAAACTAAACAAGGAAAAGTTGTATCATTATTTAAAATTCAAAACAAGTAATATATCTAATTATTTAGCAATTGTTTGACTAGGTCCTGTTGTAGCTCAAACAAATTACCTATTGAATACATATTCAGATTATTACTACAGGTGTAATGTACATTTTCCCTAATTTTCTGTTGCACAGTTTGTCCAAATATATACTATATATTGCATTGCATTTCTTTGGAATAAAGATAGACCTTTGTATGAGTTGCATATGCTCGTAAGCTTTTATTTTTAATTAAAATAAAAACCAAATAGATTTTTTCTTAATCCCACACTTTTGGAAATTACAATGAGTCAAAGGTTCTTATGGTATAAAATGATACCTCAAACAGTGTTTCAAGAAAATTGTGTGAAAAGTATCAGTCTTTCTTTTAAATTATAAGTTTTCTGACATTTCTTTTACTAAAATTATTGCTAAGTCAGAATCACTGGCCTTGCTTCCATTGTTATGAAGCTTTTTTTTTCTCTTTCTTTTTTTCTTTCTTTCATTCTTTTTTTCCCCAAAATTGTGGTAAATTTTTCTGTTTGATGTTCCCTGTAAATACATTTCCTACATTCAACCCACAACTTGAAGGAATTAATTATCCATCTGGCTGTTTTCACTCTTTCTTTCATAATGCTGTATACTTTGAAGGACCCACTGCTTGTTGGAGGGTTTGCTATTGCACAATTGTTGTGTTACAGTTGCTCTTCCAAAGGGATTGCTCCAGACCTCCTCCTTCATGACCTTTGACTTCCTTTACTCTGCTTGAATGTACATTTGTTTTCATGCTTTTCTTTTGTACTAAAAAAAACACATTCCTAGATCACACAACATGCTCATCCTTACCCAACCTTTCACTTTTGAAACAGTCTCACAGTTAGGTTTGTTTGCTCACCTTACAAGGTCAAACATTTTTACAAAATATCTTACTCCTCATCAAGTAATTTGCATTGTGTTGCTGTGCATCTCTTTCCACTCTTGTTTTCAAATGTTTTTATGATCTTTATAAAGATTTAAACATATATTATGGAATAGATAGCCAAACCTTACCAACAGCATTGAGCTATGATGCACTTATATAAGTATGATTGGGAAAAACATTTCCCTTCAAAGAAAATGAGCACAACAAAACATGGTCTTGTGTTAAAGGGGACATATTATGCAAAACCAAGATTTTAATAATTTGATTATGTACATTTGGGACTGTGGAGGGCCTATCAGCAGGCAAAGTGTGAAAAAAAATGACTCAGTCATATTTTTGTGGGCTGCCTCAGTCTCAATACAGGAGATAAATCAGGAGGTTTCAGGAATCGGTAGTTTCTGATGTCATAAGCTCTAGCTCATTATAATATTACAGCCTTTCACCTGCATGTTGCCACCCACCTAAGCTTACTCCGCCTATCTGTTCTCCGTCATTGTCCCTACCAGCAAGAGAGTGAGCTGACATGCCTCAGAGAAAGCACCACAACTGTTCTGTGCTGGGCTGCAAAGAACAGCACAAAGCTCTACACACTATCCCTGTCTCAGAAGAGTTACGAGCCCAGTGGATTAATTTTATTTACAACGGAAATGTCCCGGCTAGAGTCGGCAAAAAGCTGTTGGTGTGTGCAAACCACTTCACCGGGGACTGTTTTAGGAACCTCGGTCAATACAATACAGGACTGGCCAAAAGACTGGTACTGATAGTGGGGGCAGTACCAACTATCCGTTGCAAGACGACAGACACAGAAGCTGTGAGTATTTTTAAGAATTTATGCTTTGTTTTTCATTGTTGGTGTAAAGTTAGGCACATCTCCCGGAAGAAGTGGGTGGATTGCCTGTGTCTCATTTGCATTTAAAGAGACAGGCACTCAAAACCGAGCACTCTGAACAGGGCTGTTTTGGCAGGGTGATTGAACTGCTATTGTGCTTCATTCTTATGGTATTTTGACCGAAGCTTGTCACAAACATTACATTAGGACACCAGGGAACTAGGTTAACTTGTTGAAATAGGGTATAATATGACTCCTTTAAGAAGTTAGACTTCGGTATAAAAGTTCCATTTTGCTCAATTCTAAAATTTAGGCTGATACAGAGGGTAGTTCATCTAATCTGTGCACGCCCAGTTTGTATACAGACTGATATAAAAACCCATAACTTTATGTTTAGAGTTGTCTAAGTTGAGCTATCTGAGCTATTTGGTTAACTACCTTATTCTGTGTTGATGGAAATTGGTGCAAGGATTAAAGGACCCATTGAGAAAGTGGTTTAATTTCCAGAAGTTTTGTGTGGAATTCACTCAAGTTATACTGATGAGGACACCTTTCCTCCCAAACCATGCTATGAACACCTTGTTTCCTAGGTAGTTTAATGTAATATGAGTACCCACTCAGCTCTACCTGGGTTTACTCAACTCGACTTGAATCAGTTAATGTTATTTTTCATTCCAAGTGAAGGCGTTATGGCTAGGCAGCCTAGAAGTCACGTGACCCAATTTGCATGCGACACAAGCAACAATGAATCTGTGAGGGATTGCCGGCCTTCCTGTGTGGAGGTTGCATGTTCTTCCTGTGACTGCATGGGTTCCCTCTGGCTACTCCGGCTTCTTCCCACCAACCATTAAAATGCGTATTTGGTTACTGGAACAAGCCCCTGGGAGTTTAGATTGTGTGTGGTTATTTATCTATGTTTTGCCCTGTGATGGCTCTGCGACCTGCCCATGCTATACCCACCCCTTCTCGCACAATGTCAGCTCCAACCCTCACAGTCTGGCATTATCCATACAAATAACCAGTATGGAGAGTAGATATATGGAAGGACAAGAAGCAATAAAAGACATTGTGGTGATGATCTAACTGCTGCACCTTGTCGTTGGACTGCGGTTTTGGTTTGATCTCAGCCATTTTCCTCGTTGATGGATTGACTGGATTCTTGTGAAGGAGTCACATTCATGGCTCCCTGGCCAATAAGTGACCTGCAGTCTCTAGCTGGCTCGACTCGGCTCTAGTAAAATCTTGACAGTCGGTGCTGAAATTGTAACTGGCCGAAATGCCTCTACATCTTGGAAAAACAAAACATTAGAGTACCATGCTGAACAGGTTTTTGTAGAAAATAAGAAATAGCTCAAAGTTCAGATGTAAATGCACTCTGAACTCATTACTATGGTTCTGACCTCATTCTGGGTTTTCTTTAAGATACATGTTATCATGATCTATTAACAATAGGCAGCTTTCTATTTTCATTCTTTGATTAATGTTTATGAGATGTTAATAAGAAAAGTGAGTGGGAACACTTCAGCCCAAGAAGGGAAAGCATGACTATAAAAGGCAATTTTAAGCTAAACCGAGCACCTTTACTCTGTAAAGGACTATCAAGTTCTCAAGGATCCTTTCAAGTATAGCAGGTGACCAGTATGAGGAACACAGGGGGGTTGAGTTAGTTAAGGTATTCACTTTTCAAGGAAAGAGTGTCTTAAGTTATGGGCAGCATCTCATACATTGAGAATGAGCCTGATCAGCAGTCACACCTAGAGGCCTTTTTATACCTACATAGAAATATACATTTTTGTTGCCATCAGCCTCCACAGACGAGCAACAATCATAGGAATCGGAAAGTCAATGAGGAATCGAAGACATATTCACCAATTGCCCAGTTTCCATTTTTTATTTGCATTTTCGAGGAGGCACGTCAACCTAAGCTTGACTGAATTTGTGTCTTTGTATCTGCTTAATGGACCAAAAAAGGTTATAGTATCATCAGCATATTAATGATCGAAGGTTTTCACTGTTTGTCGTAGTGGTTTAAGGGCAATGCGGGAAAATATGTTTTTAAATGCATATCTCAAAGACTCAAGGCCAGTTCTCCTGGTTTGAGTCGAGAATCATGCAACTTATCCAATTTTACAGATATATAGTTAAATTTTACAATTAGCCTGAGCTTCCAATGCCTCTTTTCCATTAGTACCTACTGTGCCCCACATGGTTCAGCCATGCACAGCTCTAGATATACAGAGATTTTGTTCATGTTGTATATGCCATCCAAGTCAGTCCTATGTAGTTAAGATAAACCTTAAAAAATGGTCTTACTTCTTAATGAAATTAGTCCTACAGAAGGAAAGAAAAAA